TGCATGATGTAGGTTTGGTGGACTGCAGGAAAGCGTTTGACTGGTGTGGCAGAAATACTCCAGTAGAAAGCTCTCAGGAGTGACCTGAAAAATTGTGATTAACTTACAAATAAATAGATCTGAGCAAATAGACTAAAAGCTCATTAATGGCAAGAAAAAAACATGCAGGATGCCTTGAGGATTCGGGAGCAGAGGAATGGTGGTTTTCATGTTTCACACACCAGGAACAGGAAACCTAAACCAAAGGGACCTGCTGCCTGGAAGGAAGCTGAGAGCCACCTCACCCAAGATGCCCATGAAGGCATCCATGTCCCATCACAGTCTCCAGCAGATGCGCCTAGTGGGGTGTCACAGAGTTCCTAAAGGACCTCTAGGTTACCTAACAGATCCCGCAGCCATCTCAGCAAGCCGTCTCAAGTGTCAGCAAACTCCATATCAAGTTAAACTAGTGGCACCTGTCCCCACATGCCTATAGACTGTGCATGATGGAGGAGACACAGATGCTGCCCTGCCAGTGTGTCTGTGTTGAAGGACTCCTCCCAAGGCCCTAGGTGGACTCCAGAATCCAGTTGCTGCCAGAGAGGTGGGTGATGGGCAGTGATGAGTCTGGAGGAGGGCCTTGGCCTTGGTCTTCTCGGAGAGAGCCCTGCTCTCGGAAATCCTCTTCCTCATCAAAGAAGCCATTCTCCAGTGCATAAGTGCAGTCCGGGCTGGAGGCTGCCTGGCATGCTCCCTTGTACTCCTGAATGGACTCATAGAGGCTGTACAGTTGGCACAGCAAGGACATGTCCAACTGTCGGAGGCCAACCTTGAGGGAAGGGAGGGGAGGTAAAAACCAGAAGTCAGCACTGGAGTTTAATTTCAGGTGAACACTCAGCTAGCAAGCCACCCCAGCCAGCACATTCCTTCCCTCAGTAAGGCTCAGAAAGAGAGGCATCACACTTGCACTGTGTCAGGTCACACCTCAGACCTGACTTGAGTCCTCACCTACAGGGCAGTGAGCCCAGCCTGAGTTTGCCCTGGCACCCTGGACACACCCAGTGAGGCAACAGCAGTGCATGTACTGGGCACCTCTGCTGGTTTCACTGTGGATAAAATGAGGGGTGTTGATTCTCCTCACAACCAAAGACCCACATGCTTTCCCTGCCACCACAGCAAGACCCCATGATGCTGTCATCCTCAACTCTTAGGACAGCAGATTGCCTCTGGTCAGGGACAGAAGCTCACTGGTCAGTGTGACATATCCCCCCCATCTGCCAGCTTAGCCTCAGGTTTATCCAGGCACGACAAAGGTCAGATCCTCTCTTCCCTGGACAGGATTAGTGCAATCCCTCCCCAAGACAAAGGACTATGCAGAAACTGAAGATGCCGCCTGTCATCACCTCCTAGAGACATCACAAAACAAGTGCTTCTAAGAGTTCTGAAAGTGGCCCTTTTCAGGAAGAGAACTTGACAGAGGCGAGGCATGGTCACCAGGCCCACCTTGACCATCCCCAATGGCACTGTTAAAGTTCACACTTCCTACCAGGCCTTGCAATGAGGGATTTAATCTGGATCCTCTGCTGTGTTGACCCTATGTAATGGTAAGTGCATGGAGTAATGGTGCCCTGGGCTGTTCTCAGAAGGCAGCTGGGTTCAACAGGGCCAAGGCTGCAGCTTGAACAGGGAAGCAAGGGCAACCTGAGAAACCCTGGCCCTCCATCTAGGCCAGACTCCACTGTTCTTTATATTTACGTATATACGTGTGTGTCTGTGGGAGTGAATGCCACCTGGGTAGGGGAGGCCAGAAGAGGGTGTCGGGTGCCCTTGGAGCTGGAGTTACAGATGGTTGTGAACTGCCAGATGTGGGTTCTGGGAACTAAACTTAGGTCCTCTGGAAAAGCACCAAATGCTTATCAATGCTGAGCCATCACTCCAGCCCTTCCATCACTGTTCTTCCAAAGTAGTGCTGATGTGCATGTGTGTCAGGAGGAAAGAGGGTTCTGGAGTGCTGGGGAGGGATCCCAGGGCTTCATTTGTGCTAGGTAAGTAAGTGCTCTATCCCTGAGCCCCACCCTCAGCCCTCTGGCACCAGGTGGCCCCAATGCCCAGTTCCAAGACAGAACTAGCATTCTGGTTCTTGAGAACAAAGGTTTTTTATTTTGTTCTGTTTTCCTGGCCCTGTGTATTTTCTCTTCTCTAAGCACAGCATTTCAGACCAGCCAAGCAGAAAAATTCCTCAAAAGCTGAATTCCAGCTTTAGCTGTGAGGCTGAACAGAGAGCCACTGGAAGAGCAGTCGTTGTGGTCCTGGTTGTCCTGGTGATAGCACAATCTCCTTCCCACTGCTCTGGGTGCAGACTCTCACCTTGGAAAGGAGCAAGTTCAGGGTCAGGTTGCTGTGTGCTCTGCCCTCTACATCAATGCCAAGGTGCCTGAGAACATGCCACCTGCTGCCTACACGGCAGCCACTGCACAGCAGTCAGTCACCTGCCCGGCAGTCAGCCACCTGCACGGCAGTCACCCACACGGCAGTCAGCCACCTGCACGGCAGTCACCCACACGGCAGTCAGCCACCTGCACGGCAGTCACCCACACGGCAGTCAGTCACCCGCACGGCAGTCGCATGCACGGCAGTCAGTCACCCGCATGGCAGTCACCCACACGGCAGTCAATCACCTGCATGGCAGTCACCGCACGGCAGTCAGCCACCTGCATGGCAGTCACCCGCACGGCAGTCAGCCACCTGCATGGCAGTCACCCACACACGGCAGTCAGTCACCTGCCTGGCAGTCACCCACACGGCAGTCAGTCACCTGCCCGGCAGTCACCCACCTGCCCGGCAGTCACCCACATGGCAGTCAGTCACCTGCACAGCAGTTGCATGCACGGCAGTCAGTCACCTGCATGGCAGCCACCCACACGGCAGTCAGCCACCTGCATGGCAGTCACCCGCACGGCTGTCAGCCACCTGCATGGCAGTCACCCGCACGGCAGTCAGCCACCTGCATGGCAGTCACCCGCACGGCTGTCAGCCACCTGCATGGCAGTCACCCGCACGGCTGTCAGCCACCTGCATGGCAGTCACCCGCACGGCTGTCAGCCACCTGCATGGCAGTCACCCGCACGGCAGTCAGTCACCTGCACGGCAGTCGCATGCACGGCAGTCAGTCACCTGCATGGCAGTCACCCACACGGCAGTCAGCCACCTGCACGGCAGTCAGTCACCTGCATGGCAGTCACCCGCACGGCAGTCAGCCACCTGCATGGCAGTCACCCACACGGTAGTCAGCCACCTGCATGGCAGTCACCCACACGGCAGTCAGTCACCTGCATGGCAGTCACCCACACGGCAGTCAGTCACCTGCATGGGCGTCACCCAACTGGCAGTCAGGCCCACGCACAGCAGTCGCATGCACGGCAGTCAGTCACCTGCATGGCAGTCACCCACACGGTAGTCAGCCACCTGCATGGCAGTCACCCACACGGCAGTCAGTCACCTGCATGGCAGTCACCCACACGGCAGTCAGTCACCTGCATGGCAGTCACCCACATGGCAGTCAGTCACCTGCACAGCAGTCGCATGCACGGCAGTCAGTCACCAGGCACAGGGGCCATCTGCATGGCAATCAGTCACCTGCATGGTGGTCACCTACATGGCAGTCAGTCACCTGCACCGCGGTCACCTACATAGCAATCAGCCACCTGCACGGCAGCCACCTGCACAGCAGCATGAATAAAATCCAACCACCGAAACTTCCCCGAGTAAAGAGAGACTCCAGCAGAACCAGACCTGGGAAGTTCTACCTTGAGGTCCAGGAAGGAGGCCCACCAATGCCATGCCATTTCAATCAGATACTGTCTTGTTACACAAAGTCACAACCTTCCACATGTCTTTCCTGCAGAGCCCTCCATACCAGAGCTAAGTGTGGCCATCCACATGAAAACAGACCTAATGTAACTTTCCTAGTCACACTTTAAATACCTGAAGGCACCCCCCCACACACATACACACACATCGTAAACAATCCAACTGGTCAAGCCAGGCATGGTAGAGAATGCCTATCATCCTATCACTTGGAGGGCTGAGGCAGAAGGACCATGAGTTTGAGACCAGCCTGAGACACACAGTGATAGATAGCATCAAAGAGCAGAACCAACTCCTCCAAGCTGCACTCTCCAGGTCCTGCAGGGTTTCTTTCATTCGATATTCTAGTCCCACGAGCAGCCAAGAACTCCCTCTGCACTGGCTCCTATTCCTGAAAGTCCACTGTAGATCTGAACACAACCTCCACACCATGATGTTCTGACTGAGTAAACTCAAATACACCTGTCCCAGTATTTGAGACAAGGAATATTAACTTTAATAAAGTCCCTCCCTCCCAGAATTACACGTGGCTTTGCTTAAACTATAATAGAAGAGGTCATACAGCATGTGTACTACCTAGCCACTGTGACACCAGCAGGGTGGGACCCTAAGACTCTACAGTGATATGCACCTTCTAGGGTCAGCCCAGGGTGAGACAGAAGCATGGGCTCCCTGACTCTCAAACCCTGTTGGATGGCAAAGGCCCTAACCCCATGACCCCAAAGTCACCCAAGACTCATGGTGCCAGGTTTTCCCATGTGAAGTCTTCCTAGCCACCCAAGGATGTGGCCAGCGCAGGGTAGGAAACAGAGGATCAGAAGGGACCTCCCTGTACCATCACAATGGGGATGAGGGATGATTCACAGAGCTGCCTTGTCACTGGGTGTGACACTGGCCTAGAAACAAATGACCCGCCTAGCAATACAGTGTGGTCCTGACATACCTATTACACAACCAAACACGTGCCTAGCACCAAGGCACGTTTCACCTAAACATGGGGGTAGATGCCCACACCTACCCCATCTCCTCAAACTGCCTGTTCTAGACACCAGACTAACTTCCTCTTACTGGGCAGAATTTCCCAGGAGGACAAGTAGGAGTCATTAACTTCCTGGCCATGACAGGTGGCCCTCAGCATGGCTGTCAAACCATTTACTTAATACTCAAGGGGAGCTGGAAACCCTGGGGTAGACCTCCAGCAGCTGATCTGCTGTTCCTGGGGCTAAATTATGCCTACAACTACACCCAAGGACCAAGGCAAGATTCAGGCTAACGGCTGGAGAAACAGCTCAGCACTTAAGAACATGCACTGCTCTTCCAGAGGATTTGAGTTCAGTTCCCAGCACCCACGTGTGGCAGCCCACATTCCAGTTACCTGCACTCTCAGTATTGGATGCACCCATCTGGCCTCTGTGGGTACCTGCACTCAGGTGCAAATGCACATACCCACAGACACATACATACATACATACATAATTAAAAATAAAAATAATTAAAAAATTCAGGTGATTAAAAAAAATTCAGGTGATGAGCCACTTCACCCAGACTGGCCCCCACCACTCCACATTGCCCAGAGTGCCCAATCTACTCACCCCATCATGCAGACTACCCACCTGCATCTCTTATGGCCTCCTGGACTACAGCAGCTCCTGCACTTGGCAAACTGGCTGGCTCAGTAGGCCTTTTTCCCTACCCATCTCTCCTAACTGCTACATTTATGTCTCCCCACTTTACATGCAGCTGTGCACATGGGTGTCCTCTCTTGCTCAGAAGGCATGTTCCTCTAGCACAACTGCCAGCTCTGAAGGACACATTCTCGGTGACTGAGTGAACACAGAGATCTGTCCACATGTGGGGCCACACCAGCTTGGAGAACTCAGGGGGCTGGGGGGAGGCAGGTAAATCTCTGTAAGATTGAAGCTAGCCTGGTCTACACAGCAAGTTCCAGGTTAGATGGGACTA